TGAGCATGAGCCAATGGGAATGTCTCCCGAATCTCGTCACATATAACACCCTTATGGAGGGATTTTATAAAGCTAGAGACTGCAAAAATGCTTCAGCTGTTTGGGCTTTCATTTTAAAAGGTGGGTTTCAGCCGGATATTATTTCTTATAATATTACTCTTAAGGGGCTTTGTTCTTGCCATAGAATGTCGGATGCTATATTATTCTTTAGTGATGCCCTTAATAGGAAAATCCGTCCAACGGCAATTACATGGAATATACTTGTCAGAGCAGTTATTTATGGCTGAGCTCTAACACGATATTTATGAAGTACACACCCGGTTGTTTCTGATACTAATTTCTGACCCGAGCATGAAGTTCAGCTGCAGGTCTAATCTCCTTTCTGTTGCTCTTCAGTATCCTAGATTTGTGTTCCTGCATTTGTAACCTCACAATGTACTAAGAGAAGCATATCTTCATGGTTGCAGGGCTGTCATTATTACTCTCACTATCATGCCAAGTTTGTCGGACATGTTTATGATATTTCTTGTTTTAAGTTGTAAGTGAGCTCTCTACTCAAGTCAGGTGAGTAGATGATTTTGCATTTTGGCAAAATGGGATAACCAACCAGAAGCACAATGCTCCTTTACTCAGGTGTGGTTTTTGTTGTGTGCTTCTTTCAGAAGCAATTTAAGATTCTGTTGGTTGATACAGATGGAATGGTATTCTTGTGAGTTGTGATTTAGACACTAAAATACTGAATTTTGAAAGAAATATGCTGCCAACTCAATTATATCTGAGTGGCAGTGAAACCTTCCCTGCATCTCATAGCTACTGATAAGCTTGATTATGCTTTTGTTCAGTGAAGTACCAGACTTTATTCCATGTCTTTCTGGTGCAGAAAAATGAAAAGGGAAAGCAGAGGCAATCAAGATGTTTGTGCAACAAATTTGGGCTGTTTGTTGGGATGAGATATTCTTAATGTTAAGGTATTGCTAATATCCTTGGATTCCTTTTGCTATCTACACATGTTGGTAAAACAAAAAAATATCATCCAAATAATTGGTTATGGGTACGGCAGAATCAAGCCTATTGCCTGCCTGATTGGGGAGGGGGATGTGGGGGTTATTTATGATTGTCATAGATCAAATCAGACATCTCCATTTTGAAGATGTTTCCCTTTATTATGCCACCCTGGGTGTTCTGTGCATGTAGGGATTTTTTTATCAATTTGACTTCTCAGTGTTTCTTTTAGACCTTGGAACTCTTTGAGGGCAATTGTGCATGCACTCTCTGTCACACCTAATGTATGAATGGACTGCTTGTCGAACCAGAACCGGTAGCAGTATGCTACCTAAGTAGTATTGTTAAAGGCGCACTTAAGTCCTAAAGCGAGACTCAAAATGTGTTGAGTGCCTCGCCTCGCTTTATGTGGCTTCAGTGTCGTCATCAAGGTTATAAGACATGCTTATCCTTGTCAACGAGCCTCTGTTGAAGAGACAACACTAAATAATTGATATTCACATTCCCATTCATTCCCATTACTAATTTTTTTAAAAAATAATTGATATTTCACATTACTATATTTTTTCTTCCAATTTCTTTGTTCATATATTTGTTATTCATGTTTGTAAAATCTTAGTTTTGAACTCTCTCTTTGCGCCTTTTTTCATTAAAGCCGATGTTTTATTTGCGCTTTTCGCTTAAAGCCCCAATAGAGCTTTTTTGTGCTTTTCACCTTTGATAACACGATACCTAACTCAAAACATAAGTTGCTATGAGTTCCTATCTTTGTAGAGAATCTAAAAAAATTTCAAATTAGAGAAAATGTGAAAGGCTTAAATGGTAAGTTAAGAAGAAAGATTATTTGACTCATATTTTACTTCACTGAGTTTTTTAAGACAGAATTGCTATCAGATTGTAACACAAAAGGATAGTACTTGGGATCGCTAGATCCACAATTCGAAATACCTACATAATTGTTAAGGGGAAAAAATTCACAATCCATTTAGGAACTTAGTGAATCAGGGACTTTGATCATAGCTTCTACTTTTGTGCTTGAGATATGCTGCCAATATTCATATTTAGATTTCGGACTTCTATCCCTTAGTGCCAAAAACACCGACTATTTTTTTGTTATCAAGCACATAACCCATTGATTATTGAACATTTTCTTCAAATAAAAATGTTACATTCCAATTGAACGAAGGCCTCCGAATATTTTGTTGCCTCTTTATAAATCATCAAAATTATAGGTTAAACTAAATTGTGTACAATTGTTATCAAAGGTGCGCTTAAGCCTTGAAGAGAGCTCAAAACGTGTTGAGCGCTTCGGCCTCACTTAATGTGTTCTTTAGTGGCATCATCATGGTTCAAAGGCATACTTCCCTTGCCAATGGATCTCTTCTGAAGAGTCAATACTAAACAATTGATATTTCTGTTTGTCTCAGTTATCAATTTCTTTGTTCATATAATTGTCATTCATGCTTACAAATTATTAGTCTTGGACTAAACATATATATTTATATTTTTTCTCCCTTTGTGCCTTTTTTAATTAAAGCCCACACTTTATTTGTGCTCAGAGCCCCAAAAGACCTTACAGCTTTTTTGCGCTTTTTGCTTTGAATAACACTGAGTTAAGTGTATTTCTTCTTACTGGAGATGAGGAGAGAATGTTGTCAGCAGGCTACTCTTTAAGTAAACAAATTATCTTTTGATTTTGCCCAGTTTTTTTTTCGTTTTACCCCATTCATGGAAAAAAGAATTGGCAGAACCTTTTTCAAAATTATAGACAGCCAGAAAAATTGAACCAAATTATTTTTGGTTAATGTTGCTTTGCGGCAACCTTGAAATAAGGTAAAGTTTGACTGCATCAAGCTCTAAAGCCGGGTATTCTGTACCAGCTCGGCTAGATCAAAGACTGCCCTTAAGTTTTGGTTTTCTCATTCACAAATTGAAAAACAAAGCAACCGAAAGAAATATGAAAAACTGAACCGATCGATGTCCACCCCTATCTCTACAAAGTATAAGTTGACATGTCCTATTTTGTTGATCAATATGAAGCATCTTACATGTATCCAGCTTTGGTGGCTGCAGTTGCCATGGGACTTGGATACGCTGATGCAAGAGAAAAATCGGCATGATATATCAGCCTCTAATAATATCGTTTTATTTGAGGTTATAGCTCATGCTACATTAATATTTAACATTTTGCTGTTTTTGTACAACCAGTGGAAGAGATGATTTCACTTTTTCTCTTCTTCAGATGTCTGCTTTTGCTTTGTTTCTGATTCTGATAACACTTTCTGCTCGTAGATGACTTGAGAAAGCAAACCCACCAAGATCACTCCAAGAACTGCACTCTTTCCCAGGTCAGACGGTGAAGAGATCAAGGCATTCGTAATCCCAACTACCACGAGGCCCATAAGTGCAAGGTAGATATTCTTTCTAGTATTTGACTCAGCAATTTCTTTATTGAGTTGCTTCATCTTCTCTGTTTCCTTCTTAGCTTTTGCTTTATCCACCGGTTGTTTTTGCCCTAAGTTCTTAAAGAAAAGCCCTTCATTTTTCTCCTCCTCCATTTGGTCTACGAAATCTGCCAGCTTCTTCTCGTTCTCTTCAATCTCCTGTTTGTTTAACTCTACTGATTCCTCAAAAGCTTGCATCCGGCTCTCTATATTTCCCATTATCTGCGCGGAAAAGAAAAATAAATAATACTCAAAAGCTGTGTATTTGGATGAAATTAAAATTCCATTTTCTGTACGACAGACCCTTTCACCAGCTTCATCAAGCTCTTTGAGGGCATTTTCACCAATTTGGTCAATCTCAGTATTGGCATCTTCAGCAAACTGTGATAGATAAGCCGATCTTTCGTCTAAATAATCAGTAAGACGGACTTTCTGTGTTTGAAGCTGTGCTATCATTGCAAGCAGTTCCTGCTGACGGGAGTCTCCTTGAGGAGGCGGCGTAGGTGGAGGTGGAGTTGCTTCTGAGTCTGAATTTGAATCATTTGGTTTGCAGAGGCAGCGAACGAGGTCTTTCCTTTGGAAATGACTTGTTCTGTTAAAAAATACATGTTGATTTGGTGTCATAGAATAGTGAATTGGTTTTAGATGAATCATCCTTCGAATTTGTGTTGTGAGAATAGCTAGTGAGTGTTAACTATGAAAAGTTCAAGTGTTTGTGTACCTCTGATTGAATTACCTTATCCATTGAAAACGGGTCAGTTTATATATATATATGTATATTTTGACACGTGTATTACAAATTTCAAAAATATATATGTTATAGAAAATAGTATTTGCTTATTTAAGCGAAGATTTGAAATCCCTCTCCGTTTTAAAAAGAGTGACTTGGCATGAATTTTAATAAAATAAAGAGAACTTTTGAAAATTTTACGAGTTAAATGTAATTATGTATTCATTTATTTCAATTTGATGAGGTTCAATCATGTAAATAGCCTTATCTCATTAATACTATCTTATAGATTATTATAATTGTTTTGTATTTTTCTTATCATCTAACCAGATGTGTTTTGCGTGTGTATTCTACGTTAATTTGTTTAGATGTCATATGAATATGTGAAGAGAACAATTGCATTTTATATATTCACATATTTTCACATTTATTGATAGTTTTTTTTTTAAAAAAAAAGAAAATTCGAAACATTTTAACAAAACAATACATCATTACAAATTAGATTACATCATGTTAACTTCATATATTTGAACATTACATACTAATGTACATATTAAGCAAAACAGTAATTATTATTTCATCAACCTTCTATTATTTTCTTCAAGTACTCGAGGTTATGGAAATAGAATGACTTACTTCATCAGAATAGTGATACCTCATATTCAGCTAAACTCCGAATTCACTCAACGACAATAAATGACATAAAAACAATTTAAAATGTAAGAAGAAGAGTAGAAGTTTAGTAAATATTGTGGTTAAAAAATGAGAGGAAATCCCTCTATTTATGGTCAACAAAGGTAATATAAACAAATATTTTTTGTGTCTTATCTGAAAAATCATGACTTTTTCAAGAAGTCACAACTTATTGAAAAAAATCACACCCCTTTGAAAAAAGTCACAACTTATCAGAACAGTCATAATCTAAGTTACGGATATTAAAGGCATTTTCTTTTATGTTTGTCACTTACTAGCACCACATCTAAGCATCTTCACCACATCGTCAAATAAAGTGAATGAACTAGCTAAGATCATACAAATAACAAGTCCAAGTTTGTAACACATTCCACTTACTCCAAACTGGGATGACCAATAATATTAGCATTAACAAATATGAAAGATGCTATAGAAGAAAGCCTCGAGATGACCATGGCAAAGAAACGCCATCATACTGATAAACACAAGTCTCAAAAACAAGACTAAGATTAATCAACAACGCGTTCATCACTTAGGATCATGCATAACTGATGTTTATAAAATAAAAATCCATGGATAGATTAGAAGCATCGGAACCAGCAGCTATTGTAATCCATATCTACAGAAGAATAAACGCTCCATGTTTAGGTTTTTCCAGCAATCTTCTTGTAAGTGTACCATTTGGAGATCCACAGATAAATGAAAAAGTTGATGATGCTGAGAAATGCCAATAGCCAGTAAAAGTAATCAAGGTGGCCTCTGTTCAACTCATCTGGAATCCATCCAAACTTCCCGTGCCTTGTGGTCACGTTCATCACGATTGTAACGAGTAGAGAACTTAGGTAGTTACCTAATGCAGTAGTTGTAAGACACAGTGCTGAACACAAACTTCTCATAGCATCAGGTGCCTGGTCATAGAAGAACTCCAGTTGACCAATGAATGTGAACACCTCAGCGCATCCAATCAAAAAGTATTGAGGAACTTGCCAGAAGATGCTCAGAGGAACGTATTCGCTGTCATAGTAGTTGTTCTTTCTTACCATGTCAAGTCGAATGGTCTCCAGAACTGCAGCACAAGCCATGGCAAATACTGATATAACAAGACCAATGCCCATTCTTTGCAGCTGAGTGAATCCTCGTTCGTTGCCTGTATACTTTCGTGCCAAGGGAACGATGAAAAGGTCATATACAGGCGCCCAGAAAATAACACTCACTGTGTCAAATATGGATAGACATGCTGATGGAATCCTGAAGTGAGGTCCAATGTGATTGTCCATTACGTTGCCTTGGTTAACAAACATGGTGCTCATCTGACCGTAGACACAGGAAAACACGATACCAGTAGCCCATATTGGGAGTAGACGGATGATCGACTTCACCTCCTCAACTTGAGTCACTGTGCAGAGCCTCCACGGATTCACTAATCCATCGACTTTATCAGATTCAGCTTCCACAGCAGCCTTGTCAAAGAACCTTAGTTCCATTTTTGAAGTGGCCAGTATATTAGCAAACTATAGAGTTGCAATTCACATATTCGAGATAGATAGACAAGTATTCATGAATATCACGTCCTATGGCTACAGTTGCTAAAAGGCATAGTTAAGACTGACACGTTAACTTTGCCTCAACTGACAACTAAACACTCTGACTTTGAGAATGCACGTCTAGACACCTCAATGTCAGAGTGTTTAAGAGTTCACTTCAGAAAGGTTACAGTGGGATTGTAGAGTTACCTGAACTCGTCTGAGTGCTCAAGCTTGCGGCTTGCTACGATGATGGATTCTGTATCAGCAGTCTCATACAGAAGAGTATCGTCATGAGGAGTTTTGACATGACATTTTCTAATAAACGCAACAAACACCTGAAATATGCGAGTCAGGGGACTCCCTGCTGGTGGTTGGAGCCTATATAGACGGGTACCTGAAAAGAAAAACACTAGTGCAATGGCCATAGCCACAGCTGGAACACCAAAACCCAAGCCCCAGCCCACATTGCTTTGTATATACACTAGAACTGATGAAGCGATAAGAGCACCGACATTGATTGAGAGGTAAAACCAGTTAAAGAAGGAACTCTTCTTCTTCTTTTCGTTTTCATCATTGTCATCAAATTGATCTGCCCCAAAGGAAGAGACGCAAGGTTTGATACCACCAGTTCCAAAGGCAATCAAGTAGATCGAAACAAAGAATGCTGCCCTCTGTGACGATGTTGGGTTGCAAGTACCATTATTACATGGCCTTATCCCTTTTACAGAAGCAGATAACGTCAGGAGTGTCATTCCCTACATAAACAGGTGAAGTTCATCAATTCCTCCGCCAAAATCAGTGTGCTCGAGTAAAAAGAAACATCAGGACATCTTGTTACCACTACTTCTAATGTGTACTTGCTAAAGTCAAAGACCATCAACAACAACGTCTTACCCAATGAAATCCCACGAAGTGGGGTCTTGGAAGGGTAGAGTCTAAGCACTCCTTACCACTACCTCGGAGAGAAACATGACAGATAATGCAGAGCATAAATGGAAGGTACCATAACAACAACAACAACAACAAGAAGGTGCAAATGGTATCAAATACCAAAATATACGGACTACATGAAAAGGCTAATACTACTGACACGATGCTCTATACTACCACCAAGCCAAATACATGAATAGGCTAGTAATACAACAACTCTCAACTACCTACTAACCTCCACGACCTCCTATCAAAGAACATGAAAAAGTAAAAAAACTAAGAAGAGCCATTTAGTACTAACAATGATATAAAGGAATGAGAAACCAGCAATTGTCCAGTAGCGGCCAAGATAGGCATCAGCCAAGAATGCTCCAATCAATGGCGTGACATAGCAGGTTCCAGACCAATTGTTTACAGCTTTTGAAGAAGAAGCAACACCTAGATTGAGCCTCTTTTGAATATAGTTCACCAAATTTGTACTCATACCATAGTACGCCAAACGCTCACATGCTTCATCCCCTGTAAATTCAAAAACCTATACATGTCAACGACATTATTCTAACACAACTACTTCTATGGATTAAGAGAAACATCATACCAAGAATGTAAGGGCAAGCCTTCCAGGTTCCGGTTTTCTTCTTGTTAGCAGGTCTTTTATAGATGTCCATGGTCCCATCCTTCGTATAGTCATCATCGCTATCCATTCAACTAGATCAAAACAATGCAACAGCCTAAAGGGCAAACAATCATACAAACACCTCTGTTACACATTGGAGATTTTTGAAATCTAAACAAGAACAACATTTATGGGCTTTGACGCTAGGATTTTCACTAAGGAGATTCATAACAGAATGAAGTAAAACATACAACGGAACCAACAGACATCAAAATTCACTATCTTTACAAATAAAAAAATAAACCTTTATACGTATAATATAACTTTTCGACGATAAATTATTCCAAGATCACCACATATGAGATAAACAAAAGGATACCAATTGGCAAAAGGTGGACCCCAAAAACAAAACAACACTAATAATAGAGCAGTCATTCTGTGTTCACACAGAGTCTAAGGAAGGGTCACATCCGAAGCATGACACAAATATTAGTGATTGATTCGAAGATCTATTAAATTATCTATACGTAAAAATCAGGTTGTAAAAGCAAAATTGAGATAATCAGAAAACAAAAAAATCACACCAAAAAGTAATAATAAAAAATCCTTCAATTTTATTGATGTATATATATATGTTAAATCCTTTTTCGAAGGTAGAATAACTCAAAACTGAGAAAGTCCTTTTTCGAAGGTAGAATAACTCAAAACTGAGAAAGTTGCACAAAGCATCACATGTTCAAATAAGTGTCTGGTCTGATACAAGCATTAGTGATTGATTCTACGTAACGAAAATCCATTAAATTTAATACATTGCATCCATTAAATTTAATACATTGCATCCATTAAATTTAATACATTGCATACACATGACATATATATATGATGATGATTATAGTATTATATAATATAGATATATAAAAAATTGAAAAATACCTTCTTGTGGGGTTTGAGAGAAAGGAGGCGGCAGAGTAAAATGTTGAAGTTGAGGAATGTGAGAATATAAAGGGGTGTTACTGAAACAGCTCAGATTTTCTAGTTACTAACTTTATATAAACTTTGTTGGAGAAAATAAATAAATAATAATAATAATAATAATTAAAAAAAATATTTATTATCTAAAATTGTATACTTAGTTCAATAGTCTATATGCACAAAAATAAATTTTTACTATCCTTTGACAACTATGGGACGATATGCTAAAATAGGAAATGTTTTCAATGCCCCGTTTAAATTTTAAGAAGACGTTTGACCATGAATTTTTTTTTTTGAGAGTTGAATTACATTAGATATGTTTGGTTGAATTTTAAAATTTTCTTAAATTTGAAAAGTAATAAAATGTGTTTTTACTTTTTTTTTAACTTCAGAGTACAGACCAAAAGTCAAAAACATTTTCAATTTATATTCATGGTCAAAAATAACTGTAATTTTCAAATATCATTTTTCACTTTAAAAATAAAAATATTGACTTAATAGTTTGGTTAAGAAATATTTTTTTAGAATAAATTGTCATATGTAACAAAATTTTGACAACTCATTAGGATTTAAAATTGGTGGATGAAACTTAACTTGTTATAGTAATCTTCAGGATTTATGATCAAATCCTTACAAATTTTGAAATTAATGGAAAAATTTGTCTAATCGTAATCTTAATGGATCATCAATGACCAAAAAATCCTCATAATTCCAAGGGATTAACGATTAAATTTTGATTAATCTTCATAATTTTTTTGTGTTAAGTACTAATGAACGTATCTTGCTTCAAAGTTCGTCCAAATCAACTCCAAATGACTATGAATTTAATATTTTTCAATGTTTATGTAAACATTCATAAATTAATTAGGCCCATTTTTCTTTTTCACCTAGCTATTTCACGTTAACAAAACTTTAATAATAATAATAATAATAATGATAAAATAATAATTATCATAATAATAAATTATATAAATCTTATTTTTTTATATAGCATAACTTATAAATCTTTTTAAATTAATCCAATTCAGACAATTTTAGATTAGTTGGAGATTCCAAAATTCCATAAAAAAAAACCTCTTCAACAATCAATGAGATTGAATTTCCTTAAATAGCACGAAATATAGTGGGATCGAAATATTTATTTATTCATGGCTCTTAAATGAGAAGAAATAACTTCAGTATTAGATGAGAATGTTCTTTCCTTAATAAGATGTCTCGAGTTTAAATTTTGAATATAAAAAAGACCTTGATATAACGTGTTTCTCCGAGACACCGAAAAAAAAAACTTCAATCCTTTTTCAAGGTTGAATATTATGTCATTATACAAAGTGTTGAATGTGAGTAGAAAGTGTACCTTAATTATAGTTTATCTTCACAATCTTTGTGTTTGATACGTAATTAGCAGAATGTGAACTTTTATATGTATACCTAATCGAAGTTATCTTCCGATCAACTGTTCATCCTCTAACTAAGTTTTATTTATTGTACTTAAACTATAATTGATAGAAATAAAAAGTATGAACAATTTATATATTGTTTTATTTATTGTACTTAATAATCTATAATTGGCAAAAATAAAGAGTGTGAACATTTGATCTTTTATTCTAATTAACTCAACTACAACTGGCAGAAATGAAAGAGTGTGAACATCGGCTTAATATAATTAGAACAAAATTTTAGTTACATGCTTAAAATCTAAATAAACATGATATGTATTTATTCAAGTTTTTAAAAACTTCTTAGATACATAATATAATTTAATATATTTTTGTACGTGATTTTTTTTTCAATTATTAATTTTAGATAAGATGTTAATAATTTAAATTGACAAATTTTACATAAATGAGAGGTAGTCATAGAATTTGATTCATGAAGTTCGTACTTGATAATTATTGATATATCCCCACTTTAATATACTTGTTGTGATGCTTGAAAATTCTTTTAAAAATTTTTTACAATTTATTTTATTTAACACTTTTTAACTACTAATTGATATTTTTGATAAGTATTGCTTTCACTTTTCAAAAATTTGAAGAATGAGAGTACAAAAGAAGTAAAAGAAGAAAAAAAGAAATAGGCATATGACAATAACTTTATCAGTTACATCAATGGTCAATTTTACGCTTAATTTCACCCTGTATTTTTATAAGAGATTATTTTCAAACCTTGAACGTGATTTCTAACTTATCATATGACAATAACTTTATCAGTTACATCAAGATTTTTCTTCGTCACAAAATATAGATTGAACTGTTAGTACTTGGGAAATAATGGTTCATATTGTTTGTTATCATCATTTCCTCATATTTATGTTAAATTATATATTTGTCAATGTTGGCAGATAAGAAAGAATCAATCAATCACTATTTGAATAACAAAATAAGTATCATTGCACTTCTTATCAACAAAAGTATCCATTTCTTGGACTACTTATTTAGTCTTTAGCTGATAAAGACAGTTAACAGTGCAAAGGCAGATCCTAATTAGTCTGTTTGATCAAACTTTTAAAATTCGTTAATATTTTTAAGAGAAAAATTTTAAAAATATTTTTGAAATAGTTTATGTAGGTAATTAACTTGAAAAATACTTTTGCATTTTAGATTACTAAGTTGTGTTTGACCAAAGTTTAAACTTAAAAAGTACTTTGGGGTAAATAGTGGAGTAATATCTTCTCTGGAAAACTTAGGCAAACACCTCGATTCATTAAAATAAGCATTTTTGACTTCTTTAAAGCTTGGTCAAACAAATATAAAGGTTCCATTTTACCTATCGTTTTAGCCAAAAACAAATAAAGGTTTGAAAATAATTACCACCTTAGGAATTCAAGATAAAAATTAGGATTTATTTTGTCTCAATTTATGTGATATATTTTTTATTTTAAAATTTAAATAACTATATCTTTGATCGTAAGTTTTTCATATATCTTTTAAATATTTTCTATCGTCAATCATTGCAACTTATAATATTTTTTACATAGTTTACAAATATATAAATTTCAATTTTTAACAAATGAAGATTTCATGCGCCAATTGACGGTCAAACTTAAACTGTTTGACTCTAAAAAATACGAAATATGTCACATAAATTGGACACATGGAGAAATTGTTTTCAACTACACCTCTTATATTAAAAAACTAGCACTTTGATTATCAATAAACTTCTAATAAATACGGATAACTTAGTGAACTTTACTCCCTCTATCCTAATTTATATGACACATTTTATTTTTTTGAAAGTCAAACCGTTTAAGTCTGATCGAAAATTTGCGTATGAAATCTTTAATTTTTTTAAAAATGAAATTTATATATTTGTAAACTACCTAAAAAGTATTATGAGTAACAATAATTGATAATTCAGAATGTTTAAAAGATCCATGAAAATCTAAAGATAAACTTGTTTGAATCTTGAAATTCGAAAGGTGACATGTAAAATAGGACGGAGGGAATACCATTTATTTTTTTTCTTAATTAACGGACATGAAAATAGCTAAAAACGACAGTTAAAATGAAACGGAGCGAGCAAGTATGATGCCATGCAATACTAAAAATTAGACCCAAAAAACCAACCTTAATGCTCATTTCAAGAATCTTGAACAACAATTATAAGGATGTTGTACTAGAGAAACATTGTTACAGATTGCAATTATTACGAGGATGGACCTATTATTGCCTTCTTATAAGTATAAAATTTAGCAACAAAGAGAAAAAATCCAAAATTGATCACACTTAGCACAGCCAAAAGCCAGAAAAAGTAATGTAGATGACCATAGTTCAAATTATCAGGAATCCAACCAGCACCACCATGTCTAGTACTCATATCAGTCACAACATTCACCAAAAATGTACTCAGATAGTTCCCGAGCGCGGTCGTTATAAGTGACAGAGCTGAACATAAACTTCTCATAGCATCAGGGGCTTGTTCATAGAAGAACTCCAATTGTCCAATGAATGTAAAAACTTCAGCACAACCTATAACAAAATATTGAGGAACTTGCCAAAAAATCGACATAGGTATATGCTTCTTTTCGTAGTAATTATGTTGTTTTACACTTTCCAGTCTAACCATTTCCAATGTTCCAGCAATCAACATGGCGAAAATTGAGATTATGAGTCCAATTGCTATCCTTTGTAGCTGAGTGAAACCGTTCCTATGACCTGTGATTCTTCTGGCTAACGGAACAATCACACGGTCATAGATAGGTACCCAAAAGATGACACTAATCGTGTCGAAAAGGGATAGGGAAGCTGAAGGGATTTCAAAGGATTTGGTCATGTGAAGATCCATTGTGTTGCCCTGGAGAACAAATAAGGTTCCCATTTGGCTATACACACTACTAAAGATTATACCAGTTGCCCATATAGGCAATAGCCTTAGGATTGATTTCAATTCTTCTACTTGTGTCACAGTGCAAAGGCTCCATCCATTAATTGACCCTTTGATTTTATCTGATTCTGTCTCCACTGCTGCCTTATCAAAGAAACTATGAACAAAAAAATATTATTAGGTCCTTAAAATGATAACTACAAGTAACTAACGGACATACATGTGTCACAATCTTATCCACCGATCTGATATTTATTAAGTATCGGATCAACGGATAAGATTGTGCAACATGTCTCTATCATGTTTGCTCTAGTTTTTGAACGCCAATATCCCAAAAGTTTAAGGGAGGGTATCTTGCACACCTATTTACGATAGGTCAGGGGTGTATTTGTCATTTTTTCCCTTTTTCTTAAATCCAGGTGCTGTCGCATAAAATGAGATTGATGGAGTATAAAAGCTAGATTTCACATGAATGCTTCAAGAGAATGAGACATCTTAAGGGGCGTGTTAACGACATAACTAATGAAAAGAGAAGCAATATTAATCAACTGTTGTTGATGAGGTGATCATACGATTCAACAGAAAACGCATCGTAAAGTTAGTTAGACATACCTCAATTGTTGAGTATGATCAAGTTTCCTGCTACCTTGTACAAGAGATTCTTCATCACTAGTTTCAAACAAAACAGAAGTATCCTTAACTTTAATTTTCCTAAAAGATGCAACCACAACTTGAAATATCCTTGTAAGTGGACTTCCACCAGGTTTTTGATTCCTATAAAGTTTTGTTCCTGAAAAAAAACTTACAACAGCAATAGCCATAGCAACAGCAGGAATACCAAACCCCCAACTCCATCCAACATTTGTTTGTATCCAAACAAGAACAGTCGACGCAACGAGCGCGCCAATGTTGATAGAAAAATAAAACCAATTAAAGAAAGAACTCTTTTTTTTCTTCTCTGTTTCATCAGAATCATCAAATTGATCAGCACCAAATGATGAAACACAAGGTTTTATTCCACCAGTACCAAGTGCTATTAGGTAAAGACCTAAGTAAAATATTCCAATCTGTAATCCTTTAGGCTCACATGAATTGTTGTCATCACAAGGTGGTTTTAATCCATGTATTGATGCTGATAATGTTAGTACTGTCATCCCCTGCATAGATTTAACGTATTACAACATTTAACTTATATGCACGGACAGTATACGCAGTCTTTCATTCTTGTGAACGTATTTCCTAGGTAGAATAATAAAGGGAAAAATGTACAAGTACTATACCCCTAGAGTATGGCCGAAATCCCAGAGACAAACTTTGACTACACTAAGGTCCTATTACCCTCTGATCTTACTATTTTTTTGTATTTGTGCACCATTTGGGCTAATGTGACATCCAAATATCTCCCACGCGCCACAGGGTATGTCACGTAAGACGAAACGTACACAAAATTATAAAAAAATAAAATAATTCAGACCTTAGTTTAGTTAAGGTGTCTCTCTGCAATTTCGGTCATAATCTATGGGGGTACTACTACATTTTCCCGATAATAAATGTGTTAGTTAGAGGAATCTCACAAAAATACAGACATGTAGGGTCACGTCCACAGTAAGCTGAAGTTGTGACATGTCGTATTACGAAAATTAAAGAAAATATATAAAGAAGCTTACAAAGACATAGATGATTGAGAACACAGCAATAGTCCAAAATCTTCCCAAATAAGCATCAGCTAGAAATGCACCTAGCAATGGTGTAACATAACATGTCCCTGACCAATTTGTAACATTATTAACTGCCACAACACTACTCTCATTCATCTGATTTTTCAGATAATTCACTAAATTTGTGTTTATCCCATAATATGCCAGCCTCTCACAACATTCATTTCCTGTTAATTAAAATTAAACGAAATTCAAAATTTATATATATGTACATAAACACACAAAAAATCAAATATTACATATACAATATAATTTTTGGTTATGGTGGTTCGGATGAATCTCAGATAACGAAAAGTATCACATAAACTGAAACGGAGAAAATACTGTACCAAGGATGTAGGGGCAAGCTCTCCAAGTTCCAGTTTGGTTCTTGATTGCTGGATTATTTTTGTAGTCCACCGTTCCATCTTTCACAAATTTATTATCATCTTCCGCCATACTTGATACTAGTGATACAATCATACAAAATAAAATTGTATTCAATTTACGAGGGTCAAAATACTTAATTTGATAAAATTGAAAAATACATAAATATATTGTACAACTCAACATAAATAAAATTCAAGATATTTTAGAAATGTGATAAAATTATAGTTAAAGCTTTTCGAATAGTAAATTAAAACAGATAAAATGATTATTGTATGCATACCTAGGGATGTTTTGCAGATATTGCTTTTGCTAGGAGGGAGTGAAGGTTCAAGAAAATAAGAAAGCTGACCAAATTATTTATATAATAAGATGAGTAAGTATATAGGATTAATTTGGGAAGTGTAATTAATATACAGATATTAAAGAGGTGCATGGTTTCCATTTTGCAGCCATTCATTAGACCTACGTTATCCTACACTTGACCCACAAATTACTATCTTCCTTAGGAGTGTCAGATAAATGAGTTAAATTAAATTTAAATAGATTAAAATGTTGGAATTAAAGGCAAGTTAATTATACATTTGGCCAGCCAAGTAAGCATAATTGTATTCGCTAGTCAAATATATATATATATATATATTATTTGATATATATATATTTTGCCGGAATATAATATATTTTGCCGGACAACTATTTATGTTAATTTCTCAGCATATAATTAGAAGGTTACTGAAAAACAGTTTCAATTTTTCAAAAAACAAAAATTTAAGCGTGGTCAATTATGATTTGGCTACATTATTAATTATTTTTTTAAAAAAAGGTAAAAAGTTCAAATATATTATCGAATTTTGAAAAAATTTTCATCTCTTTCATCTGTTAAAATTTGACTCATCTATGCCATTTTAGTTAATAAATAATGACATGAATACAAATTTTTAACTAATTGCATATATAAATGAATTTTTTCTCAAAGTTCGGTGACATATTTTTTTATCTTTTCTCTTATTTAAGCTAAAGATCTATCACAAAAGATATCCCTATCTATACAAAAAGGGAGTAATTAAAATTTATGTACACTCTTGATATTACTCCTTTTAAGTAAATCAAATTTTCAACCTTTTCGTTGGCGACTTTAGTTATTTCTTATGTTAATATTTATATATTTGACTAAAAGTATAATTATTTTTGATTGAACGATAAAAAATTCATAGTCCATCAAATTTTGATTTAATTTACATGAAGTTAATTAATGGTACGACATATAAATCTGAACGGGTAAAGCTGAATAGCCAAAAAAAAAATTGGTCCAAATTTAGCTATAAATTTAAAAAGTTTATAATATTCTTTTCATTTTTATAAATTTTTTTTAATTAAGAAATAAAAATATTTTTTTTAAAAAATAACATAAATAAAATACAATTCTAACCATATTTTCTAACCAAAACACTTTTTCTTTATAAATTATCCATTTTCTTTCCTAGGTACTTGTTATTGGTCATGAATGTAGTGTAAAAGATATTTGTCCATGGCACACACTTCTATCCATAGTAGTAATTGATCAGTCAGTATCTTCTCATTTTTGAGCCCTTACTTAGCTTATTATCGATTTTTTTCTTTAGTTTGTTATTCAATCTTCTATATTACGGTGGAATTTGACTAAATCATATTTATGTATGCTAATAAGTTAGTTTACGTATATTAAAATATTAAAAATTTATATTTAGATAGACTCAAACTCAAAATTTCTAATTAAAAATAAAAAAGTACTTATCACTCTACCACAAATTCTGAATCGGCAGCTTATTATTGATTGATCATCAATCAATCCCACTCTCTCTACTTGCTCTGGTTTTCTATCTATCTTTAATTTCTTATTGAATTGAATTGATCTTTTTTTTTTCTTGTTATGTGCAGACTTCTCTCCCATACGGGGATTTGAGAGGTTACAATCACAATAAATATCATAGTGACTCCCTCCCATATAATAATTTTAAGTTTCGAAAAATAATTTAGAAAATAAATAATTAATATTTTATTATGAATTTTACGATTAAACTTTTAAAATCACAAAATTTAAAATTATTCTGAAATAAATAGATTCGTTATTGTAAACTTAGAATATAAATTTAAATTGTGGCACCAAAATGTTGTGCATCTCAAATCTCACCGTTACAAATAGCTTTAGTAGAATCTTAAGTTTTGTTGTGAATAATCATATTCTGGTCAAGCTTTGAGTTCAACATATATACTTAGGTAAAATATTGCATAAATTAATTATTCCAATGTTTGTGAAATTTTTATTAGTCAGAAAAAGTAGAGAAACATATAATACCTAATTCTAGAAGATTGTATATTTATTCATTTGTTTCATTCTCGAAACACAATTTCTTAAATATTTTATTTATATTTTACATCTTTAAAAGGTAGCTAGTCGATTTAACACTAAGTGTTCCTACTAATTTAAAAACATAGTAAGTGAAGAATTGACAAGAAAAGAAATAAATTGTCCACGTAGTACTGATCTAAAAGGACTATCTAAATTTAAAAATACGAGATTTAATTTCTAATATAACGAACAATGATTTTTAATGTTTTAGAGGATTAAATTATACATTTAAAAAATAACATAAAGTACTATTTCATAGTTAACAATTCTTTGAGCTAAAAAATAATTTAAGTCAAAGAAGAAAATGTGTTGTACTTTATGAGTCATATAATTAAATAAAGGGGTATTTATTTTTACGCAAGTATAATGATTAGGGAGTTTTAATTTTTCTATATTCGGTAGGTTAAAAAGATAAAAAAATATTTATTTTTACAAATAAATTTCTTAAATATGAAAAAAAATGATTTTTTTTATAGTGGAAATAGAAAATGTAAGTTTCTAAAGTCTAACGTTACACTTAGGGTCTGTTTGGATGGACTTAATAAAAGCAGCTTTAAAAAAGTACTTTTGAAAGTGCTGAAACTTATTTTTAAAATAAACAGTTATGCTTTTGGATAAAAGTGCTGAAGTTGTTATGCCAAACGTGAAAAGGGAAAAATAGAAGAAAGAGATGTTAGGATTATATGGGTAATTTGGAGATTGTATAAAAATATTAAGGGAAAAAACATAAAAATGTGGTCAACTTAAAACAACTTATAAGCTAAAAAAAAAAACACCCCTACCCAGCTTTTAACTTTTGGCTTAAAATAAGTTTTTTTTAAACTTAAAATAAGCTATTTTGAGTATTGCCAAACAGTTAAATAAGTCAAAAACCAGCTTTTAAGCTGAGCCAAACAGGCTCTTAACCTCTCGCCACCTTTCCTCTTCTTTACCCTGCCTTCTTAGTCCCGTCCCATCTCATTCCTATCTTTATTTCTACTACGCATAATATTTATTTAGATTGTATATAAATTTTTGTAGAATAATATATTTTTTTAATTTACGTACCAAACATACAATGAATAAAAAATTAACTTATTTTCTTAGAAAATATTTTTTTGAAAAATATTTTTTATATAAAAATCATTTTCGTTTGTGCTGAATGCCTCAACCTGGTTGTCCACTTGTTCAATCACAATGTTAGGTAAGTTTTCATAAGCTATACTTTTAAAACTTTTTTTAAATATCAAGTATTAAAGAGTTAATTAGCTTTGGTATCATAAATCATAAATATGTCTGTCATACAATATATAAATCCTATATTTATTTTACTCTTCAAATTAAATTTCTCTTATATAATTTAATTTCACCAATCCAGCTTCTTAATTAATTCATCCACCATGTATTTGAAACATTTCATTAAATATTTTATTTTAATCAAATAAAATCAATTGAAACAAATTAAGAGACAATATCAAATAATATAACTAACTAATTTTTCTTCTTTTATTTTATTTTTATTTTCAGTTCACAGTTTACATGCAATGATCATGAATAATATTATGTATATCATGAAAGTGAAATTTAATCTACCATATGGTTAGTAGATGAACTCCCTTCCCAGACAAGGAGGTTTAGTTAGTTGATCACCAAGTCCTCCTAACACTCTTAAAATTCATGATTGATCCTTAATTAATAAATTTCATTCTTTATTTTTGGTTAAAAAGAATAAAAATTCTTTATCTTTTTATCTTGTCGGGGAGGGTGAGACGGTACTAAAATTCACTATTTTCCACAAAAATAATAATTATTTCCATAGATTTTTTTTGATTGAATCGATGAAAAAAGAAAAACAGTTATGTTTTCATATGAAAAATTTAGGATTTTTTCACTATCTCAGTAAGAATCTGTTTTTCATTATACATTTTCCTAGTGAGCTGATTCAGAAAATGAGTGAAAAACCCATGTTTTATTCCACTAATTTTATTTGTTACTAAAAAAGAACATTTGTTTCTAGTAAGGAGTGAGTTCCAAATTCACTTGTTGATCCAAGTTGTGGTAGATTGATAACTAATGATATTAGTAAATTTTATGATAAATAATTCTTACAATATAATCAATAATGATAGAATTAAAATTTCACTAAAAAAATTTTAAATAATAAAAATTAGCAAGGAGATTTAACATTGTTATTGTTGGTGAGAGGGTGGAGGTAGGAGTAAAAGGGGAATTGTTGACAACTAATAAGTTGTTAAAATCCATTAGGTTGGATTAATCTTTGCTTTGAAACAATGTTTAATGTCTTACAGATAGCAAAGAGAAAAAAAATCACATGATAACTATTTAACAACCATAATTTTCTAGGTTTAGCAACTAAGAGTCATAATCTCTTGTCCTTTAATATTGATTCTAAGGTTCTACAATAATATGATTACCTTTTACTAATCCATCACTAATATTCCAAAAAAAGAAGTTTCCTATAACAATTTCCCATTTTCCTTTTTGTTGGTAAAAAAGAAAAAAAAAATCTTTTCCTATAAGGGATTGTGGTTGATTAGAACAATTAAATTATCAGGGTTTAATTTCAAAAAAACATAAATTATAGAAAAGTCACGAGTTAAATAAAATTTAATATAATTGATTTTCCTTTGGGTGCTTCATTTCCATTCGATCTTATTCTTTTTTAGGTGAAGTGTATTTGTGTAATAAAATGCATCTTGAATCTCCGTAAATCAGTTCCTCTTCATAATAGATAGGATCTCAATTGCAAAAAATAACTTAAGAGGTGAGAATTATATAAATTAATATAAGGAGACTACTCATCTCATTAATTATACTGATGTGTGACTTTCTCATTCTTTAACATCTCCACCCATGTCCAGGGCTAACTCATCTCACATCTAGCTTATAATGGGATAATTTAGGGGGCATACCATCTATGGAGATAAACCTTAATAAATACCATGTAAAAAAATTGACTTTTGGATATAACTTAATCTCATGTCTAGCTTGTGAGGGGATAATTATGTAGATTCATATATATAAAGAGACCATCCATTTTAATTGATGTAAGGCTTTTTCCTTTTCTTTAAAATTATACTTATGTATGTTATGTTGAAATTTGACACGAGAGTATTATGTTAGTTTTTTTGTTTTGAATTTAGAACTTATGTTATATTTTCAGTTTTATTTGTCTTAGAAGTATCGAGTCGTTGCAAGCTTTTTCTTTTTTAATTAGTTTGCCTTGTTAAATTATCTTTTTGCCAAATATTTTATCATTTTATGTACTCATTATATTTATAATATTAAAACTTTTTGTCAAACATGTATTTCATGGTTCATAG